TCCATCTTTCTAACTGTAATTTATTACTGTCATTAGGAATATTTATTGTTCATGGTTTTATTAGTTTTTAATGTTTCTAAGCCACCCAGAGTCGAGAGGGGCAGCAAACAAATCAAATAAATGGATTAAGTGTAATTTGTCTGGTTTGCTAATCTAAAATAGAATAAATACTTCTGAGCTCCTTTTAACAACTGTGTGAAAGTGGAAGGGAATAGCTGAGTGAAATATTTTGTGGCTTATCCTAATAATACTAATTGGTTTTGCTGTACATCAGATGAACCCTAAGATGAAATGCTTTCTATTACTCCAAAGAACTTGCATTGCAGAGTGAATTTATGCAGGCATGAGTTCATTTTACCAAAGAATCTAACGAAGTACATTTTAGGCTACATATATTTATATCCTCATTTATCATATAAAATGTCTTCAAAATGTAGCATACCTATTTTGTTCTCTACCTTGCTTCCTGGAAAGACAAACCATACTAAGGAACCTTTTGCCATTGAGGATTATACTCTGGAATAAATTGCTGATCCTTTTTTTAAGTATAGGGGGTTCCTAGAAATATGAACCACTGAATGCATGTTTAGAATTGTGATAGTAATGTCTCCTTTTAGCCTGTTTTGAGCAAATCAGAGAAAATTGTTGGCCATCACGTAGTACCTATCTAGTATTTATCTATGGAGGATTACAGGGCTCAAAATGCCATATATATTCATGAAAAAATGCTGAGCCAAATCCCTTTAGCTTGAACTAGTAAGTCATATAAAAGAGTGACTTGGGGAGATACATTTTTTGTACATTTGCCCTATAATAATGCTATAAATATATTAAAAAATCTGCAAAACTTTACAAAAGCAGTCAGTCATTTTTTGATATTAATACCCAGGAGAGTGAAAGCAAAACACAGAAAAGGAATTACGGTACTGAATTGTAATATAAAATTTACCTGCAGAGAAGTGTTCTTTTCAAAATAAACATTTTTTTAAAAAAATGCTTGTTTTTGAAAATGTTAGTTCTGAATTCTTGCTAATTTTTTGCATTAACTGAAAACATTCTATTTTAATTCACTGAGTGTTAAAAAATAACATTTTTAAGTTGTTCAAAACTGTTTTTTGGGTTTTTTTTAGGAATTGTAGCCTAACTTTCCCTCCAGCTCAAAACATGTATAGTAGACCTGTATAACAAACATTTATAAGAATTCTATCAATTATCATGATAACCATTAGCAAAAATGTAGAAGAGTCTTGTGCTGTTGAAGAAAGATGAAGAGTAAATCAGATTGAGCATAAGTACCCATATTTGGGATTACATTTTGCTGACAATGGAGTGAAACATCCTTATTTCTTGGACTTTATTGCATCTGCAGTTGCCCATCATCCAGCCTCTGGTTTAGGGCAATCCGATCCTACTGGGAAAGGATGAACTGCAGGGCCACTGTGAGGAATATTCTCATATTTGGCAGATAAGAATTGTTCACATTCGCTCAGAGTTGGACTCCGATGGGCAAGGCCTTATGTAGTTAGTTATTTGGAGTGAGTGTAGTCCTGTGTTTCCTGAGGAAGTAAAGAGGGTTCTCCAGTCTCTTAGCTCAGCTACCTGTTTGTAAGATCCAGGTCCCTTGTGAGGGGTGAAAGTCATGCAGGAAATGACCTGTAATTAGGTTCATACAATGTCTTAAGGGGAACACCACTTAAATTCTTTAAGGAAGGAAGATATAGTCCCTTTATCCTAGAAGGAGGTTGTTGGTACACCCTCTCCTCAAGGAGACACTGGACCCAACAGTCCTGGTATCAAGCTGCAAACCCTACGGCAGTGGTGGCGAACCTATGGCACGGGTGCCAGAGGCGGCACTCAGAACCCTCTCAGTGGGCATGTGCGTCGTCGCCCGAGTCCTAGGCCTTCAGCTGGGTTTTATAAAACCTTTTCGCTTTAGGCCTCTGCTGCCGTGTTCAAAAAAAAAAAAAAAAGGTTCAATCAATCAGTCAATTTCAACTTCTCGTGGGAAAAAAAAAGATCTTGCAAAGTTGGAATTGATGGATTGAACTTTTTAGTCCCACCCAGTCTGCCGTTACCACCGCAGCCACGCCCACCCAATGGGCCACGCCCACCCAATGGGCCACACCCACCCGGCACCCAATGATGCATAAGTGGGTTTTGGGTTGCAGTTTGGGCACTCGGTCTCTAAAAGGTTCGCCATCACTGCCCTACGGTCTTTAGGACTGCTACATGCTTCTAACTTGCCAACAGTGTGGGAGGGGGAGAGGGGAGAATTCTGAATCCACAGATGTCCTTATCCGTGTGAGAGTTGGAGTTGTTGAAGAGTTGTTTTGGCAAACTAAAGTTTCTTCTCATAATAATTACTGAACAATATATTGGACAATGGGACCCGAACCTGTCAGAGAGGGGAGGGAAAGTTCCATCCTTTTAATTAACTGCTTCCCGCCATTTCCTCAGAGTTAGCTTTCCTTTAACCCAGTGGTTCTCAACCTTTTTAATGCCGCGACCCCAACCGGTCGTAAGTCGAGGACTAAACCGGTCGTAAGTCGAGGACTAAACCGGTCGTAAGTCGAGGACTAAACTGGTCGTAAGTCGAGGACTACCCAACCGGTCGTAAGTCGAGGACTTTCCCTGCCCGGGAGCGCCGCACATGCGTGGTTCCGCTCCCTGCGTTGGCCAAGGCGTAGCTGGCAAGCGGCAGAGACGGAGCAGGCCGACCACCAGCTGGCCCAGCCCAAGGGAGGTAAGGCACCCGCCGGAAAAGGGGGAAAAAAATGGCGGACAAAAAAAATGGCGGACAGCCTTGCTTGGCGACCCCCGTGAAATGGTTGATCGACCCCAAATGGGGTCCCGACCCACAGGTTGAGAACCACTGCTTTAACCCTACCGGTTTGTATATGCTCAATACAGTAATCATTAGAGGACAGAATGGCTCTGGTGTTCTGCTTTGGCTGGGCTTTTCAGCCTGAGGTTGACACCTGGAGAACCATCATTCAGCATCCCCTTTTATAGAGGAGGTCAGACTTCAGCTCTAAAGAACACGAAGGAAGCAGATTATTTGGACTTGTTTCATGTCAGCGTTTAGTACAGAGACTGAATTGGTTGTGCTTTTGATGACTTGTAACAAAACCAGGATGGTTTTAGTTAGGCATGTTCCCCCTGCTATTCCACATCACCATGAAACTGCTGGGTGAGATCATCTGTTGGATTGAGTATGGTGATAATGCCCAATTATATAACTTGGCCTCAGGCCATGTAAGTGATGTTATTGATGTCCTGTCCCAGTTCCTGGAAGCTGTGTGGATTTGGCTGGGAAGGAACCAGACATAGACTCAATCCCAGTTGGGGAGTCTCCATCTTTAGCCTTGGATTCAGTTACACTTTCCTATTCAAGACTGGTGCACAATTGGAGAATAATTTTGGACTCGCGGCTTCTGCATGAAAAGCAGATGGCAGCCAATGGAGAAAGGATCTTTGCAAAGGTTCATCTTATGTGCCAGTTGTACCCATTCCTGAATCAAAAAGCCCTTCACGTGGTCAGTAATGTCCTAGGCATCTGAAGAATAGATTATTGCAAATGTGGTTACTTGGGGCTGCTCTTAAAGATCACTCAGAAGCTACAGCTAGTCTATAAGCATGGGCAATAATAAGCATGCTGCAATACAAATAGTCTTCACATTATGACCAGTTGCTTATCAACCATGTGAAGTTATGACAAGCCCAAGAAAAGTACTTATGACTCAGATTCAAAATTCTGATATCCGCAGTCATGTGACCATAATTTATGATTTTCTTTTTTTGTGGGAAACTGGCGCTTATTTTCAGTTTCCAGCAAAAAATGCTGATTGCGATGATGGGTTTGCTTAATGACCACTGCAACCAAAAGTCATAAAATCGGGTTAGTCCCTTAATGACCAGCACAACTTACAACTATAATTCCAGGCTCAGTTATAGTAAATTGAGGACTATCTGTGTGCCCATCGCTCTATGAGCTGCACTTGTTTGGGTTCTCTAATTAGTAATTCACTGATTACTAATTTCCAGTACCACTTATAAAGGAACGCACACATGTGTACTAACTAACACCATGTAGATAACAGTTGGTAATCTTATCTTTTTTCATGTTTAAACATTTCTGTTTGTTTAATAATTGTGAAGAAATACCTGTTATATTACTTCATCTTATGGTTATCAGCAGGCACAAGATAGTCTGGACTAGTCTCAATAGAAGTATATTGATTGCCGCCTAGCGTCAATGTGGATAAATTTAATAATAAATACATTTTATATTTATCACAGTCATTTTTTTTTACAGTGAAGCAGTCAATGCTGCTTAGAATTTCCAATTAATCTTCACAACTATTTGTGAAGTATTGTGAAATATTCTCTGTTAATTCTAGATTACTCGCTATTTGTTTCATTTCATCCCTATAT